TGGCCTGTCCGAAGCCTGCCTCCTCTCTTCTTATGGGCTTCCGAAGGGAATTTACCCGCCGCTTTTGTATGCCTTGAGTCGGAAAGAGGGGTAACCTCATACGGACTGCGCATACACTAGGGCGTCCGTAGTGTAGGCTAAGCACTGGTAAAAGGTATGAGGAGTGGAGTGTCTTGAGGAAATAGCCGGCTTATGGTTATGGCAAATCTGGGGGGTCGATTTACCCCCCGCTTATCTATGCCTTCAGCCGGAACGAGGGGTAAGCATCACAAGGACTGTGCATACACTAGGGCGTCCGTAGTGTAGGATAAGCACTGGTAAAAGGTGTCAAGAATAGAGTGTCTTGAGGAAATAGCCGGTGTATGGTTATAGCAGCGCCGCCGGCAGCAAGCACCACCAGTGTGATATGTCAAGGTTTCAGGCACACAGCTCATCTCAGCTTTCCTGACAAGGACTGTGCATACACTGGCGCGTCCGTAGTGTAGCCTAAGCCCGGGTAAAAGGAATCAAGAATACAGAGTCTTGAGCACATAGCCGGTGTATGCTTATAGCAATCCCTGTCCGGCTTCTGGTCTTCCAGCTCCTCCCCCAAGAAAAGGGGTCGGCGGCACGAGGGCGGAGCCCTTACTATATACCTGCACAACCACATTGGCCCGAAAGGGTCATCCGAAGAACCTCAAAAATGAAAGATGCTCGTGTCCACACGCTTTGGGGGAAAAATGCATGGTGTTCATGTTCCTCCAAGCTGGAAAGAGGTGCCCAGTTTTGTGCCCCAGTTTTGTGCCAATCACTTGCTGTTATTTTAGTCCACCACATGGAACCTGGCTGATCAACTTTCACCAAGTGAGATGGTATGTGATCTCTGAGCGCGTTGATCTCGGCATCGATGAAGTTCCTGAAACCTACGGGACCTACAGCGAATGTGACGAGACAGTGCAGGTTGCGTTTGGTGCACCAGGCACAGACTTTAGAAGAGGAACTCTATATATACATATATCCCAAACACTCCATGTATGGAATCTTATGGAGTATTTACCTATGACCCCGAGTCAATCACCCCGAGTCTTAGTCCCATCGAACCTTCGCCTGCCACTTCGACACACCATCGAGACGCTTGGTTTGTCGCCCTGCCTGCCCCAAATGATGCTGCCATGGATCTTCCTCAGCCCGAATTGCCTTGCAGGCTATGTCTCAAGTTTACAAAGAACTGGGTTGGAGGCCATCGCTCTCAGGTTGGAGGCCATCGCTCTTAGGTTCGAGGCCATTGCTCTTAGGTGGGAGGCCATTCCACTTAGATTGGAGGCCATTGCTGTTAGTCTTAGGTTGGAGGCAATTGCTATTAGGTCTGAGACAGATGGATTCAAACTCATTGTCTTCAGCTCTGCGAATCTGGCACATGCACCTGGTGCAGCTGCCAGCCGGCATAGATACTGGCACTCAATGCTAGACCTGAGCTGCCAACGATCAATCCACGAAACGACCGCTCTGTATGTAAGTTGACCTTCATTGCTTTAGACAAGCATCAGCTGCTCCTTGCACAGTTCATTCCGGCCTCATTGATAGCAACGTGAATGAAGCCCCCAACAGGATCAAAAAGCCACATCCATAGAAAGAACACATGGTTTAAAAGAGGAGAAACGAACAACATTCCGACATTCTGAACATTGCGTGCCTGCTTTGGGCTTTGCAGCCATCGGTGTCCTCGGACTTCTTGCCACATCTGGCGCTTGAAAAGATGGCGCAGCCATGCCTGGCTCCTTAGCCGACCCCAATGGGTAGGGTGCGCGTGTGTATATATATATATGGTTATTCTAATATATATTATATATATATATTATATATAGTATATATATATAGTTGTACAATATATATATATATGTTTTTATTATGATCAAATGTGATCAATAAAGGTGCGATTGACCTGGTGTGAACGGCCTAGATGCCGGTCCGGTGTCTGGGAACTCAGAGGAAGCAACAACCAGGCGAGCACCTCGCAAGAAGTCTTGGGAGCTGAGTCCCTGCCTGGCCATTGGGAGAATGCCCAGCAGCTGAGGAAGCTACTGAATATAACTAATAACTGCATATAACTGCTTTGCATTGTTTTGCTTATTGCTCGGGTCTTTCCGGTCTGTTGGAAAATAGCTGCGGCAGTGATTCTGATTGATAAAGGTCAAAGCACACAGCAAAAACATTCCTAAAACCGCCTTTGAAGCCTGGTTTCGTGTCTAAGACGCGTCAGTGCTTCGCCCGGTGCTTCGCGCGGACCGCTTCGCCCGGTGCTTCGCGCTTGCTTCGCTGGACCCAAACAGGCGGACTGAACGATGATCGGGCCAGGCCGAAGTCCCCCACAAGAACCTGGAGAGGGGTCCAATCGGGTGTTGCCAATGCTGGGCACCCAAGCTTTCTGGAGCCTTGATTGATCTTGGCTTTGCTTGAGGAACCCCAACGGCTTTCACCGGGAAGGGATTGACCCATAAGGAAAATCAACATCACCCCAAAGCAAAACCAGGTTATGATGTGATGAGAGAGCTAGAGACAGACCGATGAATACTGATAACGTGTGTGCTGTTTGCTGAGCTGCATACTTTTGCCAACTGGAGTACTACCATTCACTGCAAAAAAAAAGCCCGTGTCGTGTGGCATTACAAAGGCTTTACCCTGTTACTTACCATAATTGGTAATGTGCTTGAGGACTTTAGCCTCTCCACCACTGGCAACTCCACTTCCTCCCCAACAAATAGAAAGCTCCAAAAAGGATGGTTTCCGACTGGCAACTCCGTCTCCGGCCTGCCCGCTCCGATCCAGAAGAATGTTCCCCGGCTTCAAATCCCGATGCATCACGCCGGCGGAATGGATATACTTCAGAGCTCGAAGGATCTGATGTGCGATCAAGGGCTTGTGCACTTCAGTGAGGCAGTTGCACCTGGGGGTGTTCCATGGCTATCTGGCGACCCTCAAAAAAACAGTGGAAACCGACCCATCGACGGCAACGAACACGGAGAAGGAGGCGACCGGACGGCCGGAGAACATGTTCAGGAAAAAGAACCGCGTGGGGGGAAGGATTCGGAGAAGCTTTTTCCACAGAGTGAGGCTCTGTTCCTTGGTCGAAAGCCAAAGAACTTGGTGTGCCTGTTCTTTGAGACCTCCCAGAACTCCCCGGAGGTCAGCTTCGTGCCCAAATCGATCCCAAACACAGACCCACCCATCGGGCCATTGGCGGAAGGTGAGCAGTGGAAGGCTCAACGGTTTTAAACAGCCTAATATAGCGATGGCCTCCTTATATGCTAGAAAAGAACATGACAACAAAACTATCTTAGTCGTCTTTGTTTCATTGTGCTTCGCCCCGAGTTGACAGCTTAGATGGCATCGACGAAGCAAAACCAGGAAAGCACTGAAAGCACTGCTTTAGCACCCAATAACCCACAGTCGTGACATCCATTGGATGGGTTGGAGCTGATCTGCTGCACATCGCTCGTGGAAAGGAAAGGCACCAAAAGCTCCAACCGGAGCTTTACAGTAGGCCAGAAGCTAGCTCGTGGGAGCGAGAAGCTACAACACCTTCAAGTCACCCTGTTGACCTTCAAGTCACTTGATCGCCTTGCAAAGGTCCGACTCCATCAGATCGGTCACCTCACACTGATCCGTCCGTCCGGTCGCCGTCGGTCCGGTCGAACCCACTCGGGGGATCGGCGGTCCATGGCCCAAGGCCAAGGGGAAAAGGGGTCGAACTGTCCTGAAAGAAGACACCTCGGGAGAAAAGCAAAGGTTCAAGGATAGTATACACTCCCACTCCCACTCACTGACATTGGAAGTGGACAATGGCCACTGGGAAGATCATGTTCTACAAGCAGTGGGTTTTCCCCTTCAAAGGGTCACTGTGTCCGTCCAAGGGTCACTGTCTGTTCCACCCAGCGTCGGTGTCTGTTCCACACCGATCTCGCCAAACCCAGGCCCGGTCGACGGCCGCCCTAGCGGGCCCAGGGCTGCGTACTACTCATGAACTCAGCGTCTCTGGTTCCGGCGTGTACACGCAAGTGCTTCACCCCCCGCAAAACAGGTGCCACGACCCAAGCCATCCCTTGCAACCCACCCTCCACCCATATGGCCGAGATGGCTTGCCTTGACCCGAACCCGAACCCACCATGGACTCGGTCTCCCACCCACCCGTCATTTCGACTCCCAATCCCGACCGACGAAGGGGCCGCCGCGACTCGTCCCCCGTGGCACTGAGAGCCCCAACTAAGTAGAGGTGTTTATCATCTGCAGAGACCAGCACATCATGGACCTGAGAGGAGACGCGCCGCGTCCGCCTTTCTATCTACTCAACTGGTTTAGACTAAGTGAGCCAAAGACACAGATGAAGCAAAGGATGGCAAAGGTTGATGAAAGAGGCTTCAATCATAAATCCAGGTCCGAAGAAAGATCCGACATGAAGGCGACCGCCGCGACCGCCGTCCAGGCGGCACGTGCCGAACTAGGCGTCCCGGCATAGAGGATGTTGGTGTGGCTGCCGAACTCCATCAAGTAAGAGATCTGAGAAATGCAGGGAGTCCGGCATACTGTGTTTCTGCATGGGCACGGTGGTGTCAACTCACTTGAACAGGCTTGGTCAGTGGGATCAATCCTCTCAAGTAAAGGTGGAACATAAAAATGTCCGAAACCACCGCCTAAAAGCCGAAAGACGGACACTAGAATGAGCCTCAAAGCCATCAACATCATGCCCATGAGATCGAGCTGGAAAGGAAGAATGCGGGGCCGTCCCATGGAATCGAATAAATACCGTCTTTTTCTTCAGATGCTTCCATCGTCCAGTCCCAGGAACTCTTTTGGGTTTTTCTTCGGCATTCCAGTCCCTCCTGAAACGCTCACGCCCGTCCTTCCATGTGGAGAGTGCGCATTGTGAGGGCATTTCTACGGCGTCAAAACGAGGGTTCCGGTACAGGATGCAGACATGGAAAAGCTATGAATGTGGAAACCCGGTCCCAAGCAGAAACAAATGGATGCTTCCCTAGTCCCAACCACAGGTCATGTCAACAAATCTCAAGAAAGCCATATTGGAACAACCATGAACCATCCTTTGCTGCTGGCTGTTTGGGATCCTTCGGGTCATTTACTTAGGACCGGGGAGTCCCGGAAAAGACTTGTTCCGGCTTTCACCTGCCAAGCCCAAGTCCGGGGCGCGCCTCTCGGTAAGTCCTTTGTGCATCTGTGGCATTGTTGAAGGCGTAGAGAATCTGGAGGTGACGGACTTTGGGGGGTCACAAGCATGACCAGCAGGTCATGACGGAAGAGGCAATGTATGGAGTGAGACGGTTTTTCTATTTGGGCCCTACCTTGGAGAGGCTAATCCGTTACCCCTTGGAGTCGTTCGTCAGTGCTCTTCAGAATGCCCTCCCAATGCAGGCGCCCAGGGAGCAGGCTCATCTCGTGAAAACCGTGACGCTCACCATGTCCTTTTGAGGTTGGTCTGAAAGGACGGGAGAGTGAAAGGCGCCCAGTGGCGATAGGATCCCATAGGCCATTCAAGGAATGCCCGATCGAAAAAAAAGAAAAGAGCAGTCCCAACAAGTTCCAACCAGCAACAGTTCTGGTTGTTCCACTAATGGCTTTCTTGAGATTTGTTTACAAGATTTTACAAGTGGTTGGGACTGGGGAGTTCCGACTTCTTTCTGCTTGGAACGCGTTATTCAGCTTGGTCACTACCGGCTCAATACCCTCATCTTCCTTAGAAGATGAGACACCCGGCAGTCGAGACCTCCGGCGGGGGGGGCGAGCGAAACCCGCCTTCTTCATGGCGAATTTCTCAAATTTCGTTGGGTCCTGCAACTCGTTGGGAAGCTAGTAGCAAAGGGCATCGCTACTAGTAACAAGAAGCTACTCGGGGCTCCTGGCCTTACTACTAGGAGCAAGAAGCTACTAGTAGCTATATAAGTGCATTACTAGTAACAAGAAGCTATTAGATGCTAGATGATGCTACTAGGTGCATCGCTCCCAGCAAGGACGCTACTTGGAGGTTGCCCATGACTCGACTGGCCAGTTCTGCCCTCCAGTCATGTCTCAAGTCGTGTCTTAGTAGAGCGTAAATAGAAAACGTCTTCCACATGTCTCGCTGTCCAGATGTCCAGAATCCGCCACGGTGCACGGAGCGTTCGCTGTTCGCTTCGCACCGGTCCCGCAGCATGACCTCAAAGACCACACCATAGCACCTCCGTGGCGAAAAAGACGGAACGACTTCGATCGACCATCTCATACCATATCCCATGGAAGTTGGTTCGGCCATGAAAACAATGATGGACCTTGTATTTTTCAATTTTGTGTAAGATCCTTAGTAAAACAATGATGGCGGTTCAGTAAAAATCATTACATATGATTGGTTGGAAGCCTAGGGATATAATATGTTGTGCATCTCAGTTGCTGCCCAGGCACCCGCGTCCAATACGGGAGATGAGCTCATAGCGTCTCGCAACATCGCGATCTATTCGTTCATATGGAGCCTTTCCTTATAGTTGCACAGGCACTCTCAGCAGAATTCAGAAGCAGACTCGCAGTCTACAGTTCTTTTGGCACTTGAACCTCAGCTAGTAGCTTCTTTGCAAATATGTCTGGTACTGAGGGAAACACTTCTAGACATACCATCTGACGGGCAGCTGCAGAACTCGCGCGTGCGGGCAAACTCTCATGGATTGTACGTCTGCGTGGATCATCATCTGCTGTGCTTGATAGTTCAAGAATGTTCCAAAAAAGAACTTGCTTCAACTAGGAGCTTGCTAACTTGCTTTTTAAACAAATTTAAACTACTGATTCCAAGGATCTTGCAACGTCGATGGCTCAATGTGTATAGTTGCTGATGTCTGGACTCTTGCGCTGATCCTTGATCCTTGCACTTCAGCATTGATCATGACATGTTCTCTGTCCTAGCTCAGCATCAGCAAGCAGGTACCTGCCTCCGTAGCCCTTCTTAGCTCGAACTTGCACGTTCATGGTCAAACACCAAACAGACTGTGACAGAGAAAGCCCCACTTTGCAGCTCAAAAGTTTTGGAAGGACCCCTTCTGCTTTGGAAGGGAGACAGAAATCCTAAGTATTCTTAAATGTCATTTTCAATGTTGAGATAGCCATGAATACCACCCTCATAAAGCACGTGGTTGTTAATCAAAGGCCGCTCGTCCCCATTCACGGGACACCCTGCTCTCTTCCAGTGATTCAGCCCGCCGATCAGCCTCAGAATGCGTTTCTCGTTCCCCAAGGAAGGCTGCTGACGGCAAATGCGGCGTAGCTCTTGTGTGACGCGGACACAGCGGCTGATGTATCCCAGGCTAAGATCGTCAGAACCACTATCGCTGTAAACGATGATGATAACGAGTTTGTGAGGGAATCGCAGCAGTTGCTTCAACACGGGATTCGCCGTGTGCTCCAAGTCTTCTCGTTGCTGAATCAAGCGTCGAAGCAGTGGAGACCGTTCAGAGAAGGATAACGCCCCGACAATGTGGCCTCTGTCAAACTCGTCGACGGATCGAGAGTCCAAAAATACGGCATCGCCTGCAGCATCGGATGACAGTTCCCTGCTAAGAATCTGGATCCGAACCAATGTTATGAAGGGATATGAAGGGTCCGCCCCAGAATTTTCTTGGTGGCAACCAAGAGCTATCCTTGCCTGCCTCCTCAACACGAGATTGATGGAGCATTATCGTCATGCCACATGCGATAACCTTCCAGCCAGCACGTCAAGTGTATATGGTTCCTAGTGCAAAAAGAAAATGTGCATCTGTAATTTAAAAGGACTCGCCGCCCAATTGTGGACTTTGCTTTATCACCCCTATCCCTTTACTGTTAGCCGTCGGCGTGCTCAGCACTAGTCATTCCACAACAGGGTGGGGTCCCACTGCACATACCCCCACGGCAGCTCAAAATAAGACAAGGACACACAAGAACCAAATCACCAAAAGGCTAGCCAGCTTGCCTCGTTGAAAGTATGAGTGCGCCCTGTCCAGCGGCAAACCTGAATCTTGCAGGTCTGTCTCCGTCTCCCAGGCTTCTTCAGCTGCTCTCTGCTCCTCTGACCGTCGGCCGTCCAAAGTGAGACTCATCAAGTAGTCTGCAACCAACCGGTTGGTTGCCATGGCTTGCATCGTGAAGTCGGTGTCATGCAAAAGCTCCAGGTCTGCGTGCATCAAAGCTTTCGCATCTTGTCGGACTGCCGCAAGCACGATCTCGGAATCAGCTTTGAGGCTTTCTCCAGCATGTCTCAGTACTGATCCCGCAGATTGAACCGCAGCCAGTACAATCTCCCGCTTAGCTTGAAGATTTGCCGAAAGGTATCTGAGGGCGAAGCCATCTCTAGACACCAAATCATGCCCGAATTCCTCATCCCCGCGCAAAGCTTCATCCGCATATGCCAAAGCCGATACCTCTTTAGCGGCAGCTTCTCTGACAACGTCTCTGCTGGCTTTGATCGACACAGGCGCCTCACACAGCGCAAAGGGGTTCTGCCGAATCTTCTCCAACCACTCTTCCTCATTTGCTGCGCTTCGGAGCAGCTGCAACTCACTGTGTTCCAAGTCTAAGCTTACTTCATCTCGCAGCTCTCGAGAGTCAAGGCATAATCTCTGCTCAAAGACAGGGATGCCATGCAGTTCCTCCAGAGAGACTTTCAACTCCTTCACTGTAGAGCCTTGCAGCTTCCAGACTTGGTACTCTGTGCCATCCAAGCCATTCACAGTGATAGACAGGCCTTCTCTTGCCCCTGAGTCTTCCAGGTGTTCGAAGTCAAATTCGAACATGGCGTGGATAGTCCCCGTTTGCTGCCCGAAAATATATGGGCTGTTGATGAATATCTCACACCCCCCATTGATCTGGTGCCCGTTGATCCGGCTGGTCTGACCTCTCTTGAGGGGGTTTGATGGGCTTTAGGAAGACAAAGATCCCCTTCCAAGACAAAGTAGCTTGGCTCCCCCCCATCAGGTCCTTCAAGATCCGGGAGTTAAAACAAACACAGCCAATCAGGCTGTTGGTTGAATATACAGCCAATCAGCAGCTTCAAGGTATTGCTATGTATTACTAAATGTACTTTGTAAACCTTATTACATCGTTCTAGTACACCAATATTACCGTGATATACAATGATATAAAACTATATAACAGTCATAGTTAATGACGCAAGAGAAGCAAGTGGTTGTTGCCACTTCGAGGGGATCGTCTCCCTGTTTTGAGAGAGCTCTTGAGGAGCATGGCCGTAAGATCAAAGAATGCCAAAAAGCTCATAATGTGAGCAGAAGGGGGTACTGAAGAGGGTATATCCCTCACACTCCAAGCACGGAATTATAGAATGTATACATCGACCCCAAGTCAACCACCCCGATGTAAGTCAACATGCCATATACGATTCGTGTGTTTACTTAGACTAGATCCAAGAAGCTCTAGTCTATCACATGTCCAAGAACTGTCTGAGATGGACTTTTTGATTTGAACCAAGTTCTGAGATGGTCCGTTCACACCACAAGACTGGCAAATCCTCCAATCACTCGACAAACATGGAGACAGAAGGGTGACTCGGAGTGGGTCAGACCGGAGTGGTCAGCCAGGTGAAAGAGAAAGGATGGCCGGATGGCCCAGCACATCTTGGGCATGAAACCGCAGGTGTTTTCACCCGGTTTGCCCCACTCAAATGAACAGAATGGGCGACTTTTCAGGGATGTCAACCATGGTCAACCTACCTCGCCGATGCGTGGCCTTCGTCACCTTTTCGGCTCCTAACCCCATGCTGTGTCTCGTGCTGGATAGTAATTGGATAATATCTGATTTGGATATCGGAATTTCCCGCAGCTAAAAAACCGGACACAGTCTTCAGCCGTTTTGCTTGTCTCTCCGGCGGGAGAAGAACCTCTTGCAGCCCGTGTAGAGCAGAGAGTCCCATCATCCGAGCAATGGGGCTAAGTTGGAGCCAGAATAGGATGGAAAGGGGTGAACCAACGGGCAGTGAGTGGCCCAGTGAGGGCCGTGAGTGAGGGCATCCCTTTTTTTCTCTGTATCATGCTGTATCTGTAGAGATGTCAGGAGTTCGATCCTTAAAGATCAACGAATTACCTATTGCTTGCAACGGGAGTTCAGCGATCAAAGCTTCACTTCCTCTTGCGAACCCTCTCAGTTCATCTCCAGACATTCGGAACGAACTCGTCTTTTACATTATTTTTCGAAAAGGACCCGTACAGGTTGGTGAAGGAGCTCATTTTTGTAGATCATAGAACAACATTCTTTACTGAAGTCAAGGTACATGACTTAACAATGTGTTGCATGCCTTCTTCCTGATTCAGACTGGACCTGCAGTCTAGGGAGATATCATCCCAAAAATGAGTCAAACTGCTCTTTGATCACTGCTCATCCTACTCAAGTGATTTGGACGCCGCGTTCAGAGACCTTCGTGGCCCCGTTCCAACCGACGTCAGACCAGGTCGTCCCCACGTCGGACCTTGGAATCGGCGGGGTTGGTCGGTTCTGAGCTCCCTTGACCCTGGAGGCGTTTCCACCTGCATTAAAGATTCCCTACTGGTAGAAGTCCAAAGACTATTTTTGCCCGACTGCACTAAAGGAAATAAATTCCGTTCGCATCACCTAAAAACATCTAAAGACCATATTTTGTTTGATGGTCTTGGACTCCCAGGGTACATGATTAAGCGACCTTTCCAACCTGGATTTGAGTGGAGCCAATTGAGCCAATTCCCTGCAGGTGATCCACCGACTTCCTCACGGAGATTCACGGAGCACATTTCATCCCAGCGAAACAGGAAGCTCTGTGCTGGAGCCGATATCTGCCGTTCTATTTCAAAGAGATCTAGACACAATGATTCAAGCTCACCCCCAAGCTCCATTTCGTTGGACGAACAATTTTTGAAGTAAAGTCGAGTGTCTTCAAAAGGACTTCAACTTTCTTCTCACTCTCGATCGAAGTTAGAATTCAACTTTGTGAACACCTCATCATGGTCTTCAGCCTTTTCCTTTGACTCCCCTTCGAGCCCCTTGACCTTGGCAGAATTAATGCCCCGTGGTCAACACTTGTCAACGCCGTTGTCAGGGCACCGCACCTGAGGAGAGAACATTGCGTCCCAGTCGAAACTCTCTTTGGTTTCTGACCTGGCAGCCAGATTCCAGTGGATCGGCCCTATGATTCCTTATTATGCTTCCCGGCCCACCAGTGATGTTAATATAGCCAGAATCCACAACAACCATTCTGTTACAAAGTAACAAGGGCGGCATTACTACTAGATACTACTAGTATCAAGGTTCGCTACGCACTGTGGAGGCCATCGCTAATAGCTTGGAGGCCATCGCTATATATCTAATTCGGAGCAAGGTTCGCTACGATTGTGAAGGAGTTCAAACTGATTGACATCTTGAGTACAACACCCAGCTTTCACCCGCCTCGTTTGCCAAGTCGGCTCCCGCGCAGGCTCGGCTCACTCACACGGACCCCCCCGTCCACTCGGGGGGACCAGCCCGACGAACGGGCTCTCTTCGGACCCGTCGCGACGAACGGCTCCGTCGGGTCGGGGCGACGTGGGTTGGGGTGTTGGAAGTGCCGTGCTCCCAAAGGGCTTGGGCTTCGACTCGCCCCAATTTGGCTGTTTTGGGGGGTGAAACCCATGTGTTCAACTTGCTCGTGTTTCACTTGATTGATTCCAGAGCTTGCTGGTGCCAAGACATTACGAGTTATGACTCCGGTATCAACTGGGAACTGGGAAACTCTGGTGTCCATCAACTGTTCTTATCACACCATAAATTGATCGACCCCCCTGCATCCAAGCACCTCTCCCGAGCCACCAAGCCTGGACATCTCGCTGAAACCGTCTCCCCAAGCCAGATGTCGACTCCTCTAAACTGCGAAAGTCCGAACGTCTCAGCCAAAAGGATGAGAAATGCCGTATTGCGGGCAGGCAGTCAGTCAGTCAGTCAGTCAGTCAGTCAGTCAGTCAGTCCGTCAGTCAGTCAGTCAGTCAGTCAGTCATCAGGAGTCTATGAACTTGAGGTCGCAACATGAAATTTGGAGACCTGCTTCTCTCGTGGGCCAACCTGCTTATTGTGAGACAGCGAGCAGATAGCGAGTAAATGCTATGAAGCACTCCTGCGAGATCTGCTCTGTGGAGTCTCCGACCAGCCATCTCCCCAATGTCCCTCAGAAACGAACCCGACTGACTCAGAGTGGGTCTGATGTGAGTTGAGGATGTTTGAGTACATGTTGAGGCGTTCTTTGTCTCCCCAAAGCTTTAAGTCGTCTGGATACTTGATGATGATTCAGGTATAAGAGATCTATAGTATAATTATTGTACTCCTAGATCGACCAAAGCCTGCAAAAAGGCAGGAGGTGACATGAACCTGGTTTTGAAAGCCCCGACAAAAGGAAGGATCGAGACATGAAAAAAAACGGGTTCTTGAACAAAACCCCGAGAGTGAGTCCCACAGCCGCTTCGGCTGCTTTTTCCAATGCGACGCAGAGCATTAAGCTGTACATATTAAAACGGTCATGTGGACTTCTTTAGTATGTGCTTTGTGTGTGTGGACTTGGACTTGATCAAGTCTAAGGACCTCTAATCCCTAGGACGCATGGCCCCCCATTTGTTGGAATGGTCTTTTCATCCCAAAGGACCGAGCTGGTTTAGGGATTTGTTACACCAAACACCACTGGTGGTCGTTACCATTCCTTTAGTGGTCGAACTGAAGGCCCAGGGTATTAAGTTGTCTTCTAATTATATAACTCTAAATTGACTATATAAATATCTGTCTATACCGATATTTTGGCCCCAAACTCAGCCGAAGACAACTTCGGGGCCCAAGGGCCCCCTTGGGCCCCCCCGAACCTCACATCCCCGAACGCCCGGTGACCGATGAATGCGAGGTCGTCGAACCGGATGCGAAGCAATGCTTCAGTCGAGTCGACTCGAACACCTCGAAGCGCTGAAATCAGGTCTCTGAGTTCAGTATCAGATGATTTGGACTAGTCTTTCACATCACTTTCAGGCTTGATAGAACACATGGTAGAACAAACCTTTTGGATCCAGAACCTTTCTTCTCCCTCACAAGCGCTGCTAGCCACTGCTAGCTGCGTCAGGCAAAGGAGGCTTCGCTGTTCCGTCTCCGAGGTCTGCACCACTGCAGTTCCTAAGAGCCGCGTCAAGGCCTCCATGCCAGATCCTTAGAAGGACCCAGATGGGACCCTCTCATGGCCCTAAATGATTCTGAGACTTCATGTTCATCGACGGAAGTGGGGGGTGCCAGGTGTCTTGCCTGCCTGGCGACGAGTCTCGGCTGGATGAGACGAAAAGCGAGAATGCGCATGCGATTCTGCACGCCAGGTGTTTCTCTCCAGTGGTTTCTCAGCATTTGGTGTGCAAAGCCGAAGGTGCGGCAAAGCTGCCTGAAAGGCACTGCCTTTGGCTTGTTCATGGTGATTGACTTCATGTCTAACCACAAATTGTGCGTTTTTCTTGTATTCTCAAAGCAGGTGGTGTCCATGTTCATTCCTCACTTCACACTCCCCGCAGATTCTATCTTCAAGGAACATGAAGGTAGCGCACGCGGTCCTCGGGAACTTCCTGAATCCCCCATAGGCCTCCAGTCGTACCTTCGTTTCGTTTCGGTGCTGGGGGTGGGTGCCAGTGTCCAGTCATACCGAACCTGAGTTTCGGTACGAGATGGTACGGGTACTTGGAGGTCCTTCGGGTCCTTCACTGGGCCCGCCCTGAGGACGCTGCGAGATGATGTCACACTCGACTCACCGTCCTCCACTCGGTTAGGATGCTCCGGTGGAATGCGACCGTCCTGGAGCCGCAGGACGGTCACACATGGATCCAACGAAGGAAAGGAAATGGGTGTGTAACCTCCCTAGGGCTCTAGGGCTCCAACCACCTCCTGAGAAGTGTGGTTGGGGTGGGTTTTGGGGGTCTAACCACCTTCTGAGGATATGGTTGGAGCCCTAGGGTAGGTTGGAGGCCATCGCTATTGGGTTGGGAGGTCTCCCTATTGGAATACACACCCACATATATAAGGAACACCATCGGAACCAACCACGTGCAAGATCGGCCGAACGCCAGGCTGGTTTGATAGATCGGCCGTACGGCGTTGCGTAGTTGGAAGGTGTTAGGATTCCACAGAAAGCAGCAAATCACCAGGAATGTGATGCTGGCAGTCTACACATGTGTCTCACATGGCTCATCCAGTGCCCGCCTCAGAACACAGCAATGGCTGAGACGATTCACTGGCATCCTGCGTGGCAAAAGAAACACGACGGTTTGTTCTCACTTTCCGGGGGATCCACCGTTCGCTCATGGGTTTCGCTCAGTTCTCTCATGTTCTCCCTGTCGAATTTCACCTCCACATGGTTACAAACAGTTTGAACCCCAAATTCCCATCGCGAGCCCTTGAAATCCCTTGAAGCAAACTAGCCTTCCATCTCTTCACCCAATGTGGTCCCGTCCCGTCCCGAGAAGAAGAACCGATGCCGTGCCCGAACCGAGCCGTTCCTCCAGCCCCGCTCCACGTCCCTTCTCCCTTCTCCCTTCTCCCTCGTCTCGTGCGCGGCCTCCCGGGGTTCCCACGAGGGTCGATGAGTTGCGACCGACTCGGTGAGAATGCAGGTCTGCTGATCCTGCGGCCAGCACGTCTGGATCGGGTGGGTGTGGGGATTCGAAGTCTCGGTGCGCACAACCCCACCACATGAAGCAAAAAACATGTAGACTCTTGATGTGTCTAAACCCCCCCACCCATATTGAAGAGGTTGTTCAATTCAAAATGGGAGTGAGTTATGAATCAAGAGTCGTACATTATGAGGCCTTACCTGGGCCCTCAGTTCGTACCTTAGAAAATGGGACATGACCCCAAAAAAACAGGTACTTGTACCCATTGTCCCAGGTACGAACGGGTCGGCTCCAGGTAGTTAACATCAACAAGCTGTGTGGCAGCGCTTTGGACCGGTCCACATCGGACCGGGACGAAGACACGGGACGAAGCCAACCCCTCCCAAAAGCCTCTGTGCAAGAGAGATCCTGTCCAAAGCCCATACCGGAACCCGGTATTAAACCCTAAAACCAAATCAATGTCTAGACTAGACAGAAAACCACAAAAGCCTTGCCATGCCACTGTTTCAGCACTTCCATCCATTCCCTCACCCCCCCCACGCAACTTTACCACACACACCCACACAGCCCACCCGCGAACCCACACAGCCCGCACCGCGCCTGCTCGCTGCACACGGGGCCAAAGGCATCGGCCTCGTCCACCGGCTCAGCCGAGGGCACGACCTGCCACCGAGAAACGTCTCTCTCTGCGTTGGGAAGAAGGGGTTGGTGCCAACATCCAGGAACCATGTATATACCACAGACGGATCTGCAACCAGAGGCCCAGAGACAGATCAATATTCCTGCCACGAACAGATCAATATCGCAACCACAGGCAAATCAATATTGCAACCAGAGACAGATCGATAAAGATCAATTGCAACTTAAAGTTGTTGTTTTTTACGTATATTATATAGATCGATATAATCATAAAAGGTATACAGTAAAACAAACGTTATGACATCATCATTATTGTCGTATCATATCATCATACCTATATAGATCTTCCAGCTATGCAAAAGTCCAGCCATACTTCATCTACGAAACCAAAGAAAAGGCAAATATTTGGCACAGTTGGACGATGCAGGAAAAAAAACGAACTTGCTTGTTCACGACCGGGGGTATACATTCCGTCATATATTCTGTCTATGAATCAACCAACCAAGGCTGTAGGTCGTAGATGGTCGGCCCATCTATGATTATACATGGAGTGTAAATGAGAGAAACACCCACTTGCCACACTTCCTGCGCAGCAAGTCTGTCAGAAGCCTTTCAATTTAACCAATGCTTTGTCACGGTACAGAGGGTGCTTTGGCTACAAATGGTCACATGTCACCAGGCTGCTGGTATTGCTCTGCTTCAAGCTGTGTTGTCTGGCTTGGGCTCCGTTACAACCGTCCAAACATACGGCTGAGGGTCGGACTGCTGCGTCCTTAGTTCGTCCACTGACCCCGCACGACCCGGACACCGACGAGTCCCGACACACATCCCTGACGGACCCAACACCTTCGGGGTCCGGACGCGAACCGAACCCTTTCCGTTTGGGTCCGCTCCGACTTCGGACGTCGGTCCGCAGTCTGCGGCCCATCTTCGCATCTCCCAGCGCGGCCGAATCCAGCTGGGCAGTGCCGGCCTGCTTGGTCTCGTCCACCAGCTCGACTGCACCCGCAAAGGCCTTAGCTGAAAGGATCTGAAAGGTGCAGCAAGACCACAGGATCCACCATCCAACACCCCAGCCACCATTCGTTCGGATTTCCATGAGCTAGCTCTATGCCCCAAGATGCCCCCAAGATGCCCTTCATGCCCCTCAGCATCGCACATCTTTTGCATCAACCACGCTTTCAGCCTCAAGTCTCATCCCACGCGACACAAGTTGACCCAGGTCCAAGGTCCAAAACGTCTGCTTCGTTGCTCACGGCGGATTCGTGAGCTACTCACCGCTCACACCTACGAGTGCTACCATAATTTTATATACCCTAAGAACCTTTGCACCCTCTTAGAAGGGGTCGAACCCTCTAGTTCACAAGGGTTGGGGGCCCCGAAGCAAACCCTTGTTTTGCTTCGGGTGTGGATCCTTAGGGAAGAAAACCTGGAGCTACTCTCTTCCAGACCCTCTTCCACCACCGGCCGGTGGAAGAGGGTCGAGACCCGCACCGCACGGCCCGCCGTGCTTCGTCTAGACACGACGGGCATGGGACTGGGACTGGGACTGCTGACCGACCTGGGGTGGTTGACCTGGGGTCAACCTATAAGTCTTATGTCATATGTCTCATACACTCCATGGGACTGGAATACATGCCTACATTGAACCCCCGAACCACCCCCAACTGATCGGCATATATGGCAGTCCCATGGAACGTCTGGGTATTAGTCTTCTCAGGCGATCAAACCCAGCTGTGTTGGAACCTCGCAGCTGTTTCGGCGTCAGCCTGCAGCCTGCGCCTGCTAGCTTCACCGAAACATCAATGAGGCGTGAGACTGAGGATCTATTTGGACATATCACCCGCACCAACGGATTTCGGATGCTTCTTGGAGAGGAAAAAGACCAAAGACCAAAGAGGGTGCCACATCAACGACTTGAGATGAAACTTCAGCGTCCGCGCTCCCTGCGGAGAGTTGACCCGCGATGGAGAAGGCGATTCGGACTCCTCACCGGGCCGTGACCGGCACCACGGAGCGGGGAGATAGGTGGAGTTAGAGCTGGGGATCCATTTCTTCTCATGTCTTGCTCTACCATTTGGGGTCTTACTAGCGCTAGTAGACCAAGAGCTGAACAGCAGGACCAGGCTTGGATGCAACAAGTAGCGAAGGCGGTACAGAGCGGGGGCTCAAAAGAAATGGAGCCCGTTTTCTTAGGGAATCCGTATCAATGATAGAGGGGGTGAGAAGGCCTTCTCCCTGAAGCTGGAAGGAGTGCAGCACTTCCCGCATAGCGGGAAAAAAACACATTTTATAGAAGGGCCAGGAAGATCGAACTCACCAAACGACGCAGAATAGCTCCAAGTATCATCAAATCCGCGCTTCTCAGGACATAAATTATACCAGATCAGTCAAACGCTCCCGACAAAACGTTCTTCCGGGAACCCTGAGTGTCAATGGTCGTTTTTCGCCTCCAATGGATGGTTTCCGGTGGAGTTTCTCCTCACTAAAGCTTTTGGTTCGGGCCCAGCTCCTCGGGCACTGCACGCAACTCGGGGCTCGAGACCCGAACTGGAGCAGCGCAGGGCAACCTGGGAGGATTTGGACCCAAGGCGACCTAAACGAAAAAAAAAAAACGAGCAGGGAAGGCATAGGAACTTGGTTGCTCAGTCTCTTCAAGCACCAACCAACGATCCGAGTACAAGAGATCAACCGGGATGGCGATGTTCCGGGGTCAAACCTATAGGTTCCTATATAGTGGCGGTTAAAAGCCTCCTTGAGTCACAGGGTTCCAGTATGTTCCAGTTTCAAGATCAGAGGCCTGGAACTGTGAGAAAGGGGCTCTGGGAACTCAAGACGATCGCGTTGCGCGATCGAATCCCAGGCGATGTTCAGCTTCCACTGAACTTCCAGGAAAAAACAGATGTGTTGATTTTGTTGAGGGAAAAAGCATACAATTTTCAGAGTGAAGAACATTTGGCACAGCAGCCTGTCAACCATGCTTCTACGGAAGCCAAAAGAACTATGTGGCTCAGCCAGGATGTCATCTGCTTAGACGAACGATCAAAACGCCTGAGGCCTATACAGGTTGCACAAGCTGGCGCAGGTGGAGGTGTCTTGCTTCTCCTTATGAACCTTGGCACCAAGCAAGAAGCACCTGCCAAAGGCCTCCACAAAAATTCCTTTGCAGCCTTTGCAGCCTTTGCAGATTCAAAGGAATGCAAACCACTTGCAGCGTCTTGTAGCTACTAACCGGTCTTCTGTTATCTTCTGCTATTTTTACATGTCAAAGAGGTTTCAGAGGAAATTACCCCCAAAAAAAAAACAAAAAAACACATGGTGCCTGCCAACATGTGCGTTCTTCGCTTCCGGCTGAACCCCTCTCGCCCCCTCACTCGCCTCTCACCTCCCCCGTCCTGGCTGCCGGGCGTTCGACTGGTTCGACTTCTTCCGTTTGCTGGGGCTCAAGTCGTCCGGCCTTGGCGAGGTCGGATGGCGAGGTTGGCCGAGGCGAGGAGCGCTTGTGTTACTGATTCTGGACTGGAAGCCTGAACATAGGGATACATACGCCGAGCTGCTAGACATCGGTTGAACAGCTCAGCCATTCAGAGTCCGTTTTACCTCACTTTGTGTGAGTACAATGCACCAAACCCTTGAGGTCTCCATCAGGGTGAGGATTTGGATGGGGAGACTCCCTGGCCCAACAGGTGTTTAATTCTATATTAATTAGATGTCTATTATTATACATCATTATACTATTATTGATGTCTATATTAATATATATATAGGTCCTTCTTCCAGAAGGGCTCAGGGTTTGCCCCAGATTCGGGCCTGATACTTTATGCCCAGACGCTCCTGGACCCTCATATGGAGGGGTCTGGGATCTCAAATCCCTATGGTTTTGAGGGACCAGTCGGGCTGGTTTCACGGAGCGTCTGGGTGATACTTTTATTCTGTTGTTTCGTCTTCTCTCAACTTCAAGGCTTTGGGTTTTCGCCCCAGTTCTACCGGGCCCCGCTGCGCAGAGACCGAGCGTTGTGGAGCGTCTTGCGAACTCTCCCTGGGCGGGTCGGGTGGGGTCGCGCGAGCGCGGTGGGGTCGGGGGAACCTGTCCAGAACATACGGCTCAATCGGCCCAATGGTGTCAACATCTGACCAATTGAAATGTTGAGGCACCTGTTTGTATCCTTTTGTACCTGTTTTATGATCCTTTATGTAAGCTGTTGTTCCTCTTCTTGACTCACAACATCTCCTAAAATGTGTTTTAGTGAAGCATTGGAGCCTCCAGCCTCCAGCATGCTATTTTCTTCATCTGGTGATTCATTGCCAAAAATGGCTGCAGTGCCACTTTAGAAAAGGCTGCTCTACCAACTCTCAAACCAGCTCCTGAATAGACTTCTAATGACTTGGGTCCCAGCACGAGCCCAAGCCTCTCGAATAAATCCATCTCTCCCTGAAGAGGGGTCGAACTCGCTCGGCCAGGCATTTGAGAGTGGAAAAGCTCCAAAATAGGTCTCTAGCCTCATGATGTAGACTAAAGCATACTAAAGCGGCTTTGGCTTCGAATCCTTTTCATCCTTCGAATCCTGGACGTTGTGATCCATCTCGGTCTATCCGACCATGTCCGACCCATCGAGACCCACCGAAACCTGGCCCTGTCTCTGGCCCCCAACACGGATCTCCGTGCCACCTCGGTACCCCACCGACCCACCGACCCGCAACTCGCCGCACGACCCGACCCTCGATGGTTTTGCGCCTCGGGGTCTTCTACCATGAGATACTGTAAGTCGTAGTGATCCAAGGTGGCCAGTAGGACCACCGCATTCAGCGCATTCAGAGCTGTTTGAGGCCAAGTCCTGCAAAAAGCATCAGATTCTCGAGAACAGAACATCTGCAAAGCGGCAGCTGCTGCGATGTGAGATCATGGAGAACTATAAAGGGAAGAATGCACGATTGATACAGTATCTGTTTTGTCATGGTCTTTTTGGTGTCCAACAAGCACCGCCTGCATCCAGTGGCGGGATTCCTGATGCGGTTCCACTACCGAAAATTGTTGTCAAATCCGAGATTCTGCTTCGTGCACATCTCTTGCTGTCTGTCAAGAATTGAAGTCAGACGTTTGATCCAGCGTGACGGACTACGGGCAATCGACTCTTTACTCAATTGAGTGCAGCAATCAGCCAGTCTCAGGTCAATGCTTTTTGTGCCAGTACTGAACCCAGATCCTTGGCAAAGCTTAAACAGGTGACTGTCAATATGTCCGAGACCCTCCTGCCTTCAAGAGGCAACAGCATAATATATATTATATATCTAAGGGCCTAAGGGCATTGTTATTGGCCCCAAATCAATGCCACATGTGCCGAGGTGGTCCAAAAATACATGGTTGATGTGCTGTTGAAAGCAACATCCGATTCAAGGCAAGCATGCTGACTGATTCTTTTAGCAGATTGGGGACACCGAAAGTCACCGATCAGAAGAAGCAGCGCATGCTCAGATGACAAGACAGCTGCACCTGGGATCAACTGGGTGCCTGGCTCCTTCATCAATCGGGTTTCATACGCCTGCACGTCGACACGTCGACATCGCTCCGAGCACATCGAAGCAAACCAGCGAAGTGGCGATTCAATCCTGAAACCTAGCCAGCTTCTTCAATTCGTGATCTTTTTGGAGTCACATCCACTGGCCTTCAGGTCTTTTCGTGACCGAAGTCACCAGAGAAATCCACTTCGGTGACCTTTGTCACCAGGTGGCCTGTTGTTTGGTGTTTTCTCGGTCCCCACCCGTCATCCCCACTGCACCCGCCGGTGGTCTAACACGGCCTGTGTGCGCCCTCCGGGGGTTCCGATCTGCCGACCCCCCATCCGTTCGAGCCCATCGAGCCCGGGCGCACATTCCGGTAGGCGAGCTCATCGTCCTCATAGGTCGCATCCCGCCCACCGAAGACGAAGAGGAAAATACGATCCTGGGTCGAAAAGGGGCCGTGAAAAGCACGATCCTGAGCAACAGGTTGTTGTGATGGGTGATGAGATGTGGCAGCGACAGGTATCTTGTTCGTGATTGAAACAGTCAAGTGCGATTTAAGAAAACAAAGAAAGCAGCAGCAGCGTCAGCAGTAGTAGCAATAGCAGAAGCCGTAACTGTTGTTGGAGCGGTGGATGTCACAGTAGTCAAGGAGCACATGCGGCACACAGGCGTGGGTAACACTTCTCTTGCGAGTGGCAGAAGTGGCGAAAGTGGTTGATGACTTCATTGCTAGGGCGTCTACTGGTAGAATGGAAGAAGCCTTGGCAACAACTGCTAAAATAGCAGCAGCATGCAGCAGCATTTGCGGCGGTGTTGCCAGCACCCACTGGCCCTAACAGGTCCGCACCTTGCAAAAACAGGAAGAACATCTACTCGCAAAATGTAGCAAATAGTACTAGAATGTACAGTATTCAGACTATAGATCTCTATAACTGCTTGGTGACTTGCAACCATTCCCCAAGTCTTCTTCCTGAACAAGGCATTCCACCCCATCCCAGTCGGACTCGCCTGAAGGACGCGTTCCAAGTAGACGGCCCCCACCACTTGGTTCAACGTGGCCTGGAGAGATGCCCTTCGGCCAAATGTGGAACATGAGCCAGCCATTCGGCACAAACCAGAATCGAAAGAACATCGGAACAAAGGAGAGACACAACAATTGACTGGACTGAATACGTATTGTGATTCACGCATGTTCTTTTGGTTGGTGTGTGCTTGTGCGCGTCTGTGTGCTAATGTTCGAAGAAACATATCGAAACATAAAAAATAAAAAATAAAACTGACGGAGCCTCGTGTCCAGTCAATGTCCGTTTGATCACAAATGGTTGCTCATTGTGGATCCAAGCAAGACAGGGGATGACAGGGGGTGTTTTAAGTGAAAAAATACAGGGAAAATGGTCTGTTCCCACTCATTTCATCTTGTGAATCTTTGATGTCTACAAGTAGGATCTGGTCCAGAACCTTGAGGAAAGATCGGCCGTGATGAACACGGAAGGATGAAGCGTTCGACAGATCAAGGCCGCAAGGCCCAATCCAGCGAGCCTTCCTTCGGCAAGACAGCGTTTTCGACACAGACACAGAGAGAGAGAGAGAGAGAGCAATTGGGGCGCGTTGTCGTGCGAAAGCAAAACCAGCTGGCCCTTTTCCCTTAGAAAACACGAAAGAACAGAGGCTGGTGGAAACCCCCGGCCTCATCGGCATCGGATCGGACGAGAAAAACGAGTTCGGTGACCCGAACTCGTCGGAAGATCTGAAACCGCCCGGTTTGCGCCCGAAAAGGGTGGAACTGGACTTCCGGAATATCTTTGCCCTTTTGGAAGTCCAAAGACTATTTGGGGATATTTGGGGCAACCAAATGCCTAGACTCGGATCACCGACCATTTAAAACATAGTCTTGGATTTCTAGGGTTTTGATATGTTTTGATCATTGCAACAGACCAGACCGGACAAAAACTTGGTCTCTCTCAGGCGCTGACCAAGATGCTGGCCAACCGCAGCCACCTGGGTCGACATCACTCCCCACCGGTTCGCATCACTCAACTCATGACTCACTCAACTCGCCCATTCGATTTGCCCAGAACTTCCGGTCTGACTCCTGTACCCACCTGGAAGTCATGATCCACCACTGTACAGTACCAGTTTGGGGTAAGTCAGACTCTGAGGATCTCTGAGGCAGACCTCAGACCTGTTCACTTTCTTCAAATCCCTTCGATCACGCTGAGGATCCCCGCGTGGGAACCTCTGGATTCACCAACTTGAAGCTCACAGCCTGCCGAGCGCTGAAACCAACGGCCGATTCCACCCACCGCCCTTCGCTCCGAGACTAGGAGCGCGTCCGCCGGAACGCCAGAAGCACCGGGCGCGGTCCGTCGACGGTTTGCATCTTTCTTCGGTCCGCCCACCAGCATCTTGACGGAAAAGGCCGACACTGATGCCATGGCGCAGCAAATGTTGAAAATCACAAACCTCAGACGGTGCGGTACGCAGGTGTCCCAGCCGGCCAGGCCACTCTCCGCGGAGCTTCTCGGTGAGAGATTGGACCAATGGGTGTGCATTGGATTAAGGGAGATCCCCCAAACGTTCGGACCTCCTGGCAGGTTCGGAAAATTGACCAACAACAAGCCATTGGACCCGAGGTCTCCCTATTCACGCACACACCCAAGTTGTTTTTTGGATGAAGATTGATGAAGTATTTGTGCTCTTTTTCCGCTCTAATTTCAAAGCACGCAGCACACTTACAAGGCGTCCACGTGATGGTGAGCATCACATAGCCAATGGTATTTCTCCGATGTCCACACCTCAGAAAACCGCACCAACTGAGACCTTCCAACGTATCGCATGTATCACATGTGATGGCAGACTTGCCTAAAAATAAACGTGGCAAGAATGAGAATGTTGTTGGCGCCACCGAAATAGAGGACAAACCACTGACTCCAGTCACCATTCGTCAAACCACGTTTGAAGTCGTCTTGGACTTCGAGGGTACCAGGAGTCACAAGACGGGGTGCCGAACTAGTCGGGGTGCTCATTGTTTACTCACTGTAGAAACCACCCAACTCCATGTCACTCCTCGTCTGTGCCTTTCTGAGGCACACGCAACAGCTTTTCCGAAGACCTTGGAACGTGGACCCCATCCACCCCCGCCCGCCCCGCCCGTTCTGGGCTCGCTTTGGGCCAAGAAAAAGAAAAAGCACCGAGGGGCGCACTCCGAGACCCAGATGCGATATTCATGGGAGAGAAGGGACGGATGTACCTTAGCGAAAGATTTCAGAAGTCGCTTCACTGGGCGAATCAATCGCGCCGATGGAGCCATCAGATCAATCAGCGTTTTCAGCACGTTCTTTATCGCAAGTGACATGCATGCCGAAATGTGTGCCGTCGATGGCCCATCAGATCGTTTCTGATGTGTCCAACATTCTGCCCCCCCCAAAATGTCTGGCGGCTTGAAAGACCAAATTGTTCCCCCCAAAAAAAATCACGGCGAAAAACCGGAGCCCCCCGGCCAAAAACTGGCCGGTGCAGAAAAAAGACCAACTGAGCGTCCTTGAGACCTGGACCCGTGCCAACAGTTTCACTGCCGAGAAGGTGCTCACCTGGAGCCCGCCGAGCCCGGGAGCCCGTCGAGGGAGAGACGAACGCGACAGAGATCGGCGCAGGGAAGCAGGTAGATGGTGGAAGCAGCAAGCAGGCGCTGCTTGAAAGACCGGCTCCAGCAGCTGCGGGTGCCGAACCGCTTCCGGTGCCGAACGGGATGCCCATGACCCTCCACTCACTCTCCACGCACGGTTCCGTTGAGAGTTGGGGACCGGACCGTCGATTGGTGCGGGTCTTTCTTCCTGTTTCAAAGGACGGGGGACGGGTGGTCCACACCAGTCGCACCAGTGCCGCTTCGATCCGCTGAATTCCTTCTTATATAGAAGAAGAGACGGTCGCTCGCGGCCCGAGCGCGAGCCGCCGAGCCAACGAGCCGAGCCTGCGGCAAGAGCTTCTGGAAGAAGTAGCCCACGGCATTGAAGCGCTTGTACCTCCAACCCCCCGCGGAAACATCCCCAAAACGAACCTGGACCACGAGGCGCAACGGGTGCTGGACGGCCACGTGCGGCGGGTGAAGTGGTTGGGGCGGCGCACTCCGACTTGGCCAAGCATACCAGACCCAGCAGGTAAAGAGCGTGAACCTGAGTGTGGGATTGTACACACTGAGTGTGCACACACTGGGAGGAAAAACAAAAAAGAAACACCCGAGATCACCCGTGATAGGAGTCCCGGTTAAATTTAAGAGCCTGAATGCCGAACAACCCTTATTTCACAGAATTTGACACTACAAATCAAGGGTCGAACAAAAGGATACGCCGACCGCATGTCTGCCACGAGCCACACGACCGCATGTCTGCGGGCGGCGGGATGCCGGCCCCCGAGGCTCGCGACGGTGGAGGGAGGGATCCCTGAAAGTCCTTCACTTCGGTGGAGCAAATCCTTCACTTCAGTGGAGCAAAAACGAGTCACAAGACGGGGTGGTTTCGTTCGTCCTATCCAGTGGATGTCGTGGGCACCGACTACCTCCTTCCTCCGGAACCGGAACCGGCACCCCGTCTTACGTGACTCCTGTGTGATTCCTGGTATATAGCCTTTAACTTTGGCTGTGTTTGCCTGGGCAAAAGCTAGAAACGTAGAAGGACACCTGCACGGCACAGAGTTTTGGAAGTGACTCCATATGAAAGGCTCTCTTGGTGCGTGGCAAATTGGAAGCACAGCCAGGCCACCTCCACCCGAGCCCAAGCCAAAGCGATGCAGAGCCACATGAGCTTGAATTCTCCAATCTAAGTTCATCGACGGCTCAACGCTCAACAGAACATGGGATCCTGATGGATCCTGATCCATGTTCAATCTGTTCATGGCCCCGTTTCGTCCTTTCGTATCCTTTCGTCCATTCTGTTTGTCACTTAAAAACGGCGGAGCCTGGGGGACTAGGGGTTCCGAACACGGCATCCTCGAAAATGGCCCCTCTCTCGGCCTCCCAAATCGCCACCATCACAGCAGCATTCACAATCATCATGCGAGTCCTTGGCTGCTGGTGCTTTCAGGGACGCCTCGTACTTTGAAGGGTCTCTGTGACAAAGAGTGACTCTGTCGCAAGCTGAAGGAAGACATGCTGCACCATCGGTCTGGTCAATTCTTCTATACCCTCGCTGAAAACGATCCCATGGACCCAGTCCAAACCACTGGATTCGGAAAACAGTCGGACTCCGGGTGCCATCCGACCCGGGTCCGTTTTCGGGTTTGTATTGCTTCTCTACTTCTGTGAAGCAATTTGGATCACGAATCACGATGATCACTTCAAAGGGTTACAGTTTCCCCAACCTTCGCCTCGCCCGAAGCTCAGCACGCAACTGTTGATCTGAGATCAATCCAAAGATACTCGCCTCTGAAAAGGCTGGCTGATCGAAGGACGGGGGAATGACGTGGTTCGTCGTGAAACGGTTCGTCCCAAGTCACAGAACAGAACAATCCCTTAAAATCCCTTAAACATCTTCAAGTTGAAATCTAGAAGAAAAACAATGAAGGCATAGTCCTGCCAGTTCAGGAGCCACAGTTCAACCAGGTGACGTCCGATGTCTGTTCAACCCATCAAAACGCATATGATCCAAAACCCCCGGTTCAACCCTCGCCTCGTCTCGAGTCGATTCGCCCCTTCGAACCGATGGCGGCGATGCCGATGGCCGGGCCTTGAAGCTTTTGTCGTCCAAGAGCTGTGCCTGGAGGTCAAACCCTCTGGACGCCCAGCACGAGGTTGCGGAGACCGTCTTCTCCCAGGTCCCGCTGACGCCAGGTGAAAGAGAATGGATGAGAATGAGTCACCGATGTCACAGAGCAAGCGCCGACAGTGTGTCAACATCAACTTCCTTTCCCACCAGTCAGCAAACCTTTGGGCCCAACACCAACCCCCACCGCCCCATCGCCGTGTTTCCGTCACACGCCACCGCGCCACGAGACAGCGACGTCGCACGACCTCCGTTCGCCCCGCCTGGATCTCTTTCCGGGATTCCGAGCCGCCGCCGTTCGAGAGACGATCTGGAACCCGCGGAGTGGGTTCGCGCGGAGAGACATCGAAAGCACGGTGGGTCGTGGGAGGAAGGGCGTGAAAAACGAAGGCGAGGAAGGAGCGTGGAGCGAAACGGGCGTTGAAGGCAGCAGTAGAAAGGAGATGTTGGAATCTTTGAAGAGAATACTGCACAGAATGTTTCATAACTAATAATATATATATATATAAGAGAGAGAGAGAGAGACATCAACTGTTGGAAAACAAAAAGACATCTGCATGCATTTGCAGTTCTTCAAGTCTTTTGTGGTGTGCGGGGAAAGGATTTTGCCTCCTGAACCTCCACTGGGCCCACCCACCGTACCACCCACCTCAAAAAAATATTCTATTATTTTGAGGTGGTTGGAGATATCCGCATCAAATTATTTCTGGACTGTCAGAGTCTGCCAAATAATTTCAATAATGTAATACAAATTTCCAACATAAATCCGACACGAGACCATCTAGGTGGGACCCACCCCCCCTAAAGTTGACCAAAGTTGACTCAGCTCGGATTACCACGGACAGTGTCATAATGGGTAGTTGAGTAGTCAACCACCCTTCAAATAACTTCTTATTGGGGCTGCTGCTGCTTGCTATAGTCCCACCGTCCCGCTCTACGTGGCTAACACGAACCCCTAAGCCGCTGATGTTGGTTTATGCCGGTTCTTCCTGGCTATTGTTAATCAAATCTTCAAAAACCTAGCGAATTTGCACATTGTTTCCAATCTCTTTTCCTCTTCCACTGTTTCCTTGTTGTTTGTTCTATCCTTTTCCACCTTTTTCTCCCGTTGGCGCCATTTACAGTAATTAGTAATGGGTGGTTGCGTAGTCACCCACCCCCTCAAATAATTTCATTATAGAGGTTGTATGAGGTTGTACCCTGTCCTTTTCCACCTAGTTTCCTGTGATTGAAGCCCATTTAATGGGTGGTTGTGTAGTCACCCACCCTCTCAAATAATTTTGTCATATTGGATTTGGTGGCCATGCTCCTTTTCTTCCACCTTTCTCCCTGTTTCCAACTATCTGTATTTTTTTTGTCAACATTATTGTCCTTTTCCTAAATTTCCTCCTATTGAGATGGCAGGTGTCCTCGACTCGCAAGCATTCTCAGCCTGTGGACTTTGATTCGATGCCTTCCAAAGCATTGGACCAAGTGTGCCTCGCAATTTTTATGAAATAACTTTTTCTCTCTAGCTTTGATCTAGCAGTAAACCCACAAAGCATTGTGCCCAGAGGCTGTAACTCTGAGGTGCTTGTTTGCAAGCTGCTGCTCTGCCAGCCAGACAGGTGGGTCCTCATATACTCAAGATTCTAAATAATCTTGTACAGGTGGGTAGTCATAGACTCGAAATTATTTAGACATAATATCTATCATATGAAAATTATTTTGCACCACCTAGACTGTTCTAGTAAAAGTTATTTTGGAACCACCACCTACATGGCTTGCCAAATAATACTTTTAGTTAATTATTTGGAACAAAAATTTCGTTAAGTGACTCCCACCTCCAAATAATTTCTTAAGGTAGGGGCCATCTCAAACTACTACTGCCACGAGGTCCAAACAAGGGTGAGGGACACAGCTCCCCTGCCTAGTCAAAGGAGCTGAGTTCAGTGCTTTATGGAGGGCGGGGGTGCCCATTGGACCGGGGACTGAACTCCAGCACCTGGTATGAAAATGCATCCAGAATCGATGCGCTGCCCACATGTGTTTTGGTTGGAAGAATGCTCTTATGGGTTAAAGGCTTCAACCAGTGCTTCCCCGGTTCTTTGTGCACTTGTAGTGGCAGGGTTGGGAGCCAGTCAAACCCCCCAGACGGTCAGAACATCCACTTGGAAGGGTCCCCATTCTAAGATCTTCACCACAGAATCAACTGCATCGGCACAGAAAAGCGCAGGTGCCTGCGATGAGCCGCGGATCAAAGGTGCCAAAGACCTCCGTGAGGTACGTCTTGAAGATGGCCCTGAGAACACGCCACGGCTTGATCGCCCAACTCTTCACAGTGGGGTCGCTGGTGATTCGGAAGCATCGGAATTGGAGTGCCCCCCTTCCGTCCATCAGCCTTTTTCCCCAAACAGGGAGCACGCCGGATGTCACGAATCGGGGCACACACTTAGTACTGAGAAATGGCTCAGGTCCAGGCACCAACCCAGTGTGTTTGAGACGGAAAAATGCACTGAACAGAGACGACCAGACATGGTGAAGCTACGGTTTGGAGTTCCAGGTGCCCGCCGGACTCCCCGCACGAGTTGTGGGGCGCACGTGTTGTGCGGACGAAACCCAATGGCGCCGCCAGAGGAAACCGAACCCTCGGGTGTTTCTGTGGCGGTTCCCACATGGTCACCGTCACCGTCGTTGGAAGTCGATTGACAAGACTGTTGGAAGTCGTTGAACCACAGAAACAACTGTTGAACCGCAGTCGACCGCAGAATACCAAGTGGACCAAAAGTCTGGAAGATTGATGTCCACATTTGGGTGCTGGGTTACTGGGGTCAATGTCTGGGTAATGGTTTAATCTCTGGGTACACAAAATTCGGGACTTGGATCGTGGCGGAGGAATTTGCTACGATCGACCCTGCTTGGATCAGCATGTGGAGGATGGGGCACCACTCTCCAATGAGGCTGCCACCAATCCAAGTGGAGCAAGTAGGAGACATTGAAGACCACTGACACCAGAAGCACAATGAACCATAAATACTTCCTCAGATTTCTCAAGTCTTGTTTGCTTTGTTTCACTGCTGCCAAATGCTTCAAACCCTAATCTCCTCATTGCAAGGGACAGCATTTTCTTTCTGTGTTGTGCGCTCGCCCGGGCGTCGGGCTCTTTCAGCGGAATCTCCGCAACCATGTTCAATCCTCCGGTCACCTGCGTTTCACGCACTCTCCGCTTTTTTTGGCGAGCAGCTGGGTGCTAGAGTTCCAGGAACTAGGGAAGAAACTTCCCCACAACCAGAAACACTTCTGAACTTCCAATATGGCTTTCCAAAGAGATCCGATCCGGAAGCGGCGAAAACTGGGGACCTTCCATCCCGTCTTGTCTCATCCGAGCCGTTGGCCCCCGTGTTTCGTCAGATCAAATCCGGTCACATGTGAGGTACGGTCAAAATGGTTTATGGCTCTTGAATCCTCAGATGGCTGTAGAGTCCCCGATCGTTTTTCGATGTTTTGGAACCGTGTTGAAAGGTATCGGTTTTTCGTGAGTCTCCTATCGGTTGCCAGGACTTGAAGCATGCACGCATATTAATGCAACGCTCCTATGCAAGATGGCATATGTATCCGTCTGCGAGAGATGTCATTCGTACGTGAGGCACCTCCAGTGTCAGGTCTTGCAGAAATTCTGGCCTCAGACAAGACCAGTGGCACATTGGACGATTGAGGTCTCAGATCTTGCCATGTGAACAGGTGAACCAAGTTGAACAGGTCACACTCTCCATCCACTTAGATTGGAAAGGTCGCTGCTCCGCTTCGTTCTTAAACTTGTCGAAAATCAAGCGGGAGAAGTCCTGCATCAATCAAGATCAGGTTCTCAAAGTCCACTTGTTTGGTCTCAAAAGTCATCAAGAATTCTACGTCTATCTAGGTCTTTTCTCTCATGTTGTTAGTCATGTTCAAAAAAAAAACACCTGTCCTCTGTAATGTAGCCCTCCTCAACGGCATGACCCATTTCTTTGCTTTCTTTGAATTTGGGAAGGGCCAACAAATCCCTCCGCAGATCCTGCCAGGGGCTGAAGGGCCGGGAACCGAACGGTTTCACATGAACCTCCAGCACCGTGTTCAATCAGGTGTGAAAAATCAGGTGCGGAAGACACCCAGACGGGAGGCAAAGGAAGCGTATAGGTTTGCTTGTCCATTTTAAAACTGTGTATTTCATGTGATCCGTCCCAATTCACAACTTACGTACAACTTCGACATCACTCCCCTCCGTTCGCAGCCCAGATTGCTTCAGCTCGGGACCTCTGTCAAGGCCCGGTTTCGAAGCTCCGGCCTCAGCGCTGCTGACACGTGTCGTCGACTCATGACGTGGCGGGCAATTGCGTGGCGTCGTGTGGTGTCGGATGGGCATGTCAAACCGGGGCAGCGACTGCATGGCACTCTCCAGGTCCTTCAACTTGTCCTGCCAAACTCGTGGAGGCCGGTCCAAGATCTTCCCTGGCATAACGAAAGACTAGATACTGATACCAGCACCCGACTCTACAGGTCTCCTCCTCCAGGCTTTTGGAGACTTAAAAGTGTCAGGTGGTGACCTGTGAAGTCGGGTGCTGGTAACAAAAGAATGTCCTGACGAACGGTGACCCGACTGTTAAGGAGGTTCCTTGATTTCAGTCGGTCATAATATCGAACTGGACTTCTATAGGGTCTTGATTGAATCTCTTCCGCCCTGCTGTTTTCTGCAATCGCCATGGCATGGCACTCTCCGCAGTTTTTCCAGCATCCCAGTCTTTTTTTATTTGGGTGATGCGGTGAATGATAAAGAATCTCTGTCACAGTCTTGGTCCTTGAAGTAATAGCCAAGGCCCGAACCTCAGTTCGCTTCCTCTGCTGGACTCTGCACGACTCGACCAGCAACTCAACCAGCATCACTCGATGTTATTTTGGGGAAGACCCTGGTGAACTCGCTTTTCGTGGGAAGAAAGATGTCGCTTTGGGGGATTCTACAATCGCTATTCTACATATTTAGGCAATTTGACTCCAATTCGAGCGACTCAACCACCGGGCGAAGACTGGAAAATGTTTGAGGCGAAATAAAACAATGACATGTGAGTCTCTCTTCCTTCAACTGTTGTGGTCAAATCCTCTGCCTGGTCAGTTGGTGAGATGGCAAACAGCTTTTTCTTGGATACCTTCAACAGTCACCGATGTGTTTCAGCCCGCGCCTGAAGATTCTAAGCTGTTCAAACCACCAGGCAGAGATGAAGGCCGCCGACTGCTGGGTTGAAGGTCATCATCCTGGCCAAAGGCAGGTCGTGGAACCTCATGGGCAAGCAGGTAAGCAATGGAGAAATGCCTACTACTAGTAACGATGCCCTTTGTTCCCGAACATTGCTCCTAGTCGTAAGGCCAGGAGCCCCGTTCGTCGCGTCCTTGCTCGGCAATTGTGTCGTTCCTCTTTGCCAGGGAGGTGTTTTTAATGGATTTGTTCGATCCAATGATCTACGTAAGAGGCTGTTGTTCAGGATCAAGTGCTTTGTTGTTTGCCAAGGAAAATTGCTCTTCTTTTTCCACTCACTTCCGAAAAAAACTCGGCTAAATGCTCTATCATGTACTCTCCCACTCCCCCGACCTTTTTCCTCGGTGTCTCCCATCCAAACATCCCAAAACTCAAAAAGAAGCTGCGGCCAATCGACCCACCCCCTCCGTAATCCAAAGCGATCGCGGAAGAAATTTGTCATACCCCTTGATCCACTCGTCCGGACACCAGGATGAGGAAACTGGCCAAAGGATTACAAAAGGACAAACAATTAAAGAGAATTCGCATGGGATTTTGGGATGGTGTTGGCTCACTGCCGTTTTTTTGGGCCAGTTAGGCTGGCCATATCTCCCTCCTTGGCTCACTGCCGTGCCTCTCCGTAGGTATACAGCAAGCTCTCGGCACGTCCACGGGGAATCCGCAGGTCTGTGCCCTCGGATCGTCCGTTTCCGCTGGCAAACCAGGGAACGGAGCCGGAGCGCCACTGAGCTCCCCGCGAGGAACTTTTGGGTCTTGATCCTGGACGAAGTCGTCGCCCACGCCCCGCCCCGCGCGGCCGATACACCTATCGAAGCACAACCGGGCCTTCACACCTACCAACCCCGAACCCCGAAGCCCAAGTGTGTCCACACTGTTTGCGGAAAAAAAGGGTCACGACTTGGACCGGACTCTCGTCTTGAAACAAGACGACATGAAGATGAAGAGATGCTTCTCATGCTGAGAGAGTAGCGTCGAAAAATTGGTGACGGTCCCATTTCCTTTTTGTTGCAGATTCAATTACGAAAAACAAAAATATGGTACTGGGTGAAAACACGTGGAACAAAAAATATAAAGCCTCGACCACTATTAGCGAAGACATGTGGAGACCTCTTCCTCTCGGACGGTGTCAAAAAACCATGCTCACCACCTCGTCATGCGGCGTCCCATCCGGCTCCGCTCCGGCGACCTGGTTCGATGCTTCGTGAGAAAAAAGCATCTCGGTGGGTCATTGAAAGAAACAAACACCGGGCATCCCCGGCAGCTTCCATGCATAATTAGAACATGGAACAGGTGGATTTGGGGCAAAAAGATTTGGAAGTCATCAACCCGGCTTGCCGGGTTTTGCGCTGCATGATGATCCGATGCCTGCTCTGATCCGATGCCTGCTCGTCGCTAGGCTCCGAACTCCGTTCGTTCTCCAATTGGTCTGGGAACGAGCGATCCTCGACGTGTCCTCGGGCGAGACATATCAAGGGTCCTTCCAGAATCATGGAGGAATCCGAATCCTGGCAAACTGTAGCATCTATATACCAGCACCTTCATGTCGGGGTCACCTGGCTGGATACCTCCACACTACCAATGGATATCTCCATTGGGCACCCCTTCGAAGCGCTAGGCATATCTATAATTACCCTGGGAGTCAAAGACTATAAAAAGAATGATCTTTAGGGGACCTGAAAGGGAACTTCCTTTACTTCAGTCGGTCAAAATATAGTGTCTGGACTTCTAGGGATTATCTATATAATGCGCATCTATTACTAGTATATTTATATTCCCATCTTTTCACTGCAATTCTTTGCCTCTTTTCCTGGTATTTCCACTTCGACTCCATTCCCATGTGCTGTTCACTTCTTCGCATCGCGTCGCGAAGGATGGCTCCTTGCCGTCCCCATCAACTCCGTCGCTTTGGTGCCCACTCGGTCGATGCTGAGCGCCGTCCGCCGCCTCGTCCGACCGGTACGGTCCGGAAAGTCGGTGCCGTCGGTGGGTCCGGAGGTGGTGGGTTTTTCGGTTTTGTCGGTGCCCGCTCGGAACTCTTAGACTCCGGCCTTGGAGACACTCCATTCGGAAATTCCGCCTCTGAAGGAATCATCCTGCCGCACGTGGGCGGGTTGGGTTTCGGGGACGGCAGTTCAGACGAAGACATCTCGTGCAACAATTCCAGAAGTGCAGCCCTCGGGAATGCATGGACTCACAATTTGACTTCAGGTTGCAACGGCCCAAGTGCAGCAGCTTCTTCGAATTTCTTTATGAGAAGATGCTGTGATCCCTCCATGGTAGAATAGAACCCGTGTTGTTTTTTTCTTTTTAGATTGGAGATCCTGTACCCCGGCGTATCCCGCGCGACCCTTTTGCGCGAGTTGTTCCGCCGGTGTTTTGCCCTCACAACTCACCGCCGGGGTCCTCTGTGGGCTCAACCTGCCAGGCTGTGCCATGGTGCTCCAACGTCCGCGCAACTCGCGGAGCAACTCTGCGAGCTGAGCGACGGAGCTCGGGGCTTGGGAGAAACCTCAAAGGTGAAGGAGTGAAGCCTATCAAGCCTTGTGATCAATCAAGTCATGCTTTTGTGTGGATGAGGCATCCTCGAGGCTGATATGTTGATACAGGAGATGTTCAGCATGAAGTTCCGAGATGTTTCACACATGCGATGTCAGCGAAAAGCACAGCAAAGGTCTTAAAAGCTGCAAACCTATTTTGCGCGGCCAACTGTCAATGTGCTCCCAGCTGCGTTTTCTGGTCCACAGCAGCTTCACTGCACATTGATTCTGTCTGGCCAAGGGCTTGGTCACATCGGCTGATATGCTGATATGACACTCCTTCCAATTCCAATGTCAAGCAAATGAAGTCTTAGCATGTCTTAGCTTGAAGTTCTGTCTATCCAGCACAGGATATGTCACATGTCTTACCAGTATCAAGTGTTACTCTCCTCTCATGCCCTTGGTTCAACCTCGGTGAAACCATCTCCGCAAGACGAGGTCTATCTCCATCTCACGTCGTCCCCTTGCGCTCCGGACTACCACGTCGTCCAGACCACCCGAAAAAAGGGGGCGCCAATTCCGCGACCGGCCACGAGGGGGCCTGGGCTTCGAATTCCAAACCTAAACACAACGAACTCGGCGCGAACTCGGCGCGATGCGAGTTGCAGGTTTTGTCGCCACGACCGAGTTCGATTCAACTGTCTCGGCGCCGAGAGTCTCGGCCAGTGAGGCGATTGGAGATGGACATGAGGCAAGTTGAAAGGACCCCCTTTTTAAAGAGTCTTTTCATCTGAGTTTGGCCACACTGGACTTGCAATCCCGTTGAGGTGAAACATGCCCCCACGCGTCAGCCCTGCTTTTTTTCAGATCCTTCGGGAACTGCATCGGTTTCCATCTCCTTGAACGAATGCAAGCCAGGGATGTCTGCATCAAAAGGAATGGAGTTGGAAAAACTGAAATATACAAGTGTCAGAAGGGGGATGGATATGTGCACTACACACTTTTCCACACGAGCCTGGCGAGCATCCTCCTCAGTGTCGCTGGCCTCGAGCGCTTCTCCTTGCTGGCTTGGGGTCCAGTTGGAACACGCCCTAGATGTTCGATTCGAGAACCGCGAACAAACGCCCTCTTGAGGCTTCCAGCATCCGACGTTCTTGCCTTTCTTGTATTCGTCATCGCTTCCCCCCCCCGATCGGATCGTTCTCGGGGATCCTTCAGTTTGGTTGTAACATCAACAACGTGCCAGAAGAAACCCACCAAAAGCGGTGCGTATGGAAAAATAATGATGATAATAGAATATACTCTAAGGGTCCTTGGATCCTCCTTAGAAGGGGTCGAACCCTCTATAACAAGGGTTTGTACTCTCAAAACCCTTGTTTTTGAGGGTGCGGATCCTTAGGGTATGATAACAACAAAATGACCAGGACCAGCACGACGAAAATTATGCCCACTCAAGTCAGATCTGCGGGAAGGTGGTGTATGATGAAGTACTTGTGGAAGTGTGGGACCCTGAGAATTCCTTGGATTATGAGAAAGCTGTGTCCTTCGCAGTGTCCTTCGCATTGTCCTTCGCATGTCTGGCTGTGTCTGCCACCTGTCCTTCAATGTCGCAGACCTTCAGAATCTGAAAGTAGGCCTGGCATGTTCATGCCACACTTGGATTTGCTTAAGAGACCTGGAAAAAAACAAGTCCTCGGAAGGGTGTTTAACCATAGGATAAATAAAACATCACCTTAAGCAAAACCAGGCACAGGTCAAGTGTCCGTCCTTCTCGACACGGGCCAAGTGTAGCAGCCCAACCCCAAAAGATCCGGAGCCCACTCGACATCACAGCCCAAATCGCCGCTGAGACGAAACCATATTCTTTCGGTCATGTTGGCCAAACATGGTTTCCCATTTCCCAACACTCCTTTCGTTACAGCCTGATGTGCACGTGCACGCAACCTTTCCCAAAAGGGCGCGGGGCCCTTCGGGGAACTCCCGGAGCGATCGGGGAGGTTCGCTGCTGAAAAAGACCAGCGGCGCGGACAGGTGACGCCGGTAAATTAGGTGTATATCTTTAATGATGGGGAGACACCCTGGCCGGTCAATTGCTCTACAGGGAGCTGCTAAAGTCACCCCACACTGTCCCACAAATGTCTCTCCCCCATGGAATTGCAGAACCTGCCAGCGGCAGGTTGGGAGCTCCCTATTCGAATACACACCCACGTGTCAGCGGATGCAGCACCCCGCCTTTTCCACTGTGCCCCGCCATGCCACTGCGTCTTGCACCTGAGCCAGCTAGGTCTCAAGTTCCTGAACTGCGGTCTGGCAGCCTGCATCAATGTGGAATACGTTAATCCCCCTTCTCATCAAGACGATGTTGGACCATCCTGGAGATGATCCCCAAAGCGTTTCTAATTAGGCGTATTCCCAAGAGCTTTCTAGCGCCTCCTCTGTCACACCGTCGAACGACTGCAAAATCTCAGTCAGTGCATCTGGTGCTCCTCCGGCTCCGCCTGAATCGCAACCTTAGGGACGCAGACCAGACCGCCCATATCAAAAAAACAATATAAGAAAATTAATAACAACTTTTGTGTAGAACAAATACCATGCGTATTCATTTGGATGGATGGATGAATGGATGGACGGACGGACGGATGGATGGATGGATTGGTTGATTGATATGATATATTATATTATATACCAGGACCTTCCAACAGGTCACCACCTGCGACTTTTAAGTCTACAAAAGCCTCCAGAGGAGACCTGTTGGAAGGTGCTGGTATAATATATATATATAGTCCCACCTCGCCAGTGAGATGGCAGGGAACACAGCAGGTGCCAAGGCGGAGCAGCTCCGCCGGCGTAACACCGTGACAAGTCCAGGTATGTCCAGAACACAGGAAAGCCTTCTAAATGTTGTCTGCTTCACTGACAACTTCGTGTTCAAGAGCAAGCATCAGCTTCTTTCGTGCCACAATGATTGAGATGGTTAGCCCTAAGATCACTGAGGAACAAAACGATTTGTTTTTGACAATGGGTGTGCAGCAGAAAGAAGCTGAGACCCCTGGAAATGAAGCAAAATACTCGAGATGCCAATGCCAACTTACCTATATACCATGGTTTTGATTGTTCCCATCGCCCAAAATAATAGACTTGTTTAGCAAATGGCCTTGTTGACTGCACAGGGGCAACATCACAGAAGCTCTGTGCAAGCATAGGCTTGTATTCAATCTGGCGAGAGGGTAGTCATGGGGGTGGGGTTGTGAAAGTTGTGATGCTGTTTTTGTTGCTCTATGTGCAATTGGTAAGCATATGTGTTCATTCAACTATGTACTACAAAAATGTCTAAATCCAAAAGGTTAGGTGTTTACTACAAAGTTCTTGGATGTAGTAATCTAATTCCATGCAACCCCCATGCAAAACCATATCTTGTGCTTTTAGAGTGTGAATTGTATTGCTCTTATTGAATGCAGTTGAGTAAGTACATCAGAATCAGAAGGCAAAGAATTGCAAGCCGCTAAATTCTAATTGAATTCAACTTCAAGCTTATTCAACTCTGCTCTACTTTTTATCATGAAATTCAAATGTAAGTCTAGTTCAATTATTTTCAAAATTCTACTTTGATTCAAGTTTCCTGCGCTATAGATTCTAATTTACTTGGTGTTCAATGAAAGCCTAATTTTAATTTGATTTCAAGCTAATTTGAATTTCATTGCTATATAATTCAGATTCAATTCTAGTATTCTATTCTGTTTCAATTTAATTTTAGTGTTTATGAAATTCTCATGTACTTCTAGAGAATCGGTGTTGCTTTGAACATGAGAGATTTTATGTAGTGTTCCAACATAGAAGCATGTGCTTTCTTAGATGAATTAAATTTACACCCCCAGCAACACCGACTCTCTAGAATAAAATCAAACCTGAATTTGAATTTGATTTGCATTGAATTAGAATCAAGTTAGCATTAAATTGGACATATAGACCAGCCAAAACCCAAAAAACAAACAAAAAGTTCAGACCCATGGAGAGGGACCCAGGAGAGGCTGGACAGGAGACATAGGTTTGAACTGTTTGGTTGCTTTTTGTTTTTGGTTTGTCCATTGGGTCTGAACTTGTTTGTTTGGTGTTTTTTTGGTTTGTCTATTGTGTTCAGAAGCTATTTTGCATTTGCTAATGCTTGCATATCACTACTCTCACAAAAACCTGCGTTTCTACAATCTACACCACTCCCCCCCCCATGGCTACCCCTTCTGTTAAAAAAAGTAGCTTTCAGCAAGTCATGTGAGAAGAATGAGAAGAAGGAAGATTTTTGCGAAGGAGGTTGAGAAGGACTGACGGCTTCATGCCAGGAGCTTCATGCCTATCCAATATTGCAAGGATAGATTGAACAGAAAAGCACATCATCTATCCATAATCTGCAGACTCCCAAAGAGATAGAAGTTGGTGGATCCAACCGAAAAATGTCTTGGAAACCGTGCCTCGGCTGCCACGGTCATCTATTTGGGAGATCCAAAATGCAAAACGGCTTTTCCAGCTCCAAAAGCTCCAACGGAGCTCCATAGTGCTGGCTTCCTTCAGGGGAACACCCTCAGTTGGTGCAAATAGAACGTTCCAATACGAGCAGGTAGCAAGTGCTGAAACGCAGCCAAGCTGAAGGAATGCACATTCACTGGAAAGAGGAAGGCACTGCTTCCGGAAACTAGGGACTTGCATGTGTTTGTCCCAACCAGAACAGCCTGAAAATCACCCGTTCCAACCACTGAGAGAGTGTATGTCGATCGAATCGGGTGAAGGCTCAATGTGTGGTAAAAAGGACAAATCAACGACCAATGCCGGTGTTTTTGATTAAATCAAAAAGCATGGACGTCCTAGGTCGTTTCTGGTTTTTGCTTGTATGTTGAAAACAAGCCAGTCTATGGTCTATGCACATATATATATATATATACAGTATATATATATATATTAATATACAT